ATTGTCCCACCGAGTATGCCAAATTATTTCGCGTGGAAATCGAGCCTCGCTAACAATTAAAAGATGGTTCAGACGATTGTGTAAGGAACAACAACCTCTCGAGATAAAGTCCCAACGATGGGTGTTTTATTGATGAAGATTACAATATGGACGAAGCGAAATGCCTCCAAGGGGCATAAGTACACTGAATTTGCAAAGTAATTTAAGGTTAACAAGAAGAAAAGAAATAAAATTACATAATTCTCTGTTTGAGAGTCGTTTGATTCGTTGTCTCTTCTAAATTCTTCTCTCTTTTATACTCATTTGACAGTTTTCCTTGTAGAACCGTTTGAAAACTGCTTCTCGCTCTGTGACTACTCACTTTCTCCATTATGGATGACTTGTCAAGAAACTATCATTTTCAACCGCTACCATTACTCCCATCACTTAACTTCTTGCAACTGAAATTTTTGGATCAAGGAATGTGATAAGATTACTCATTAACTGCTTCAATAACCGTTGCTTCGAACAGTAACCAAAACACTATATTCGCCTAGATTTTGGGCGTCACAAGGCTTGAGCAATGACAGACTCACCCAGATCTTGGGTGTCTGGGCGTTTCTTAGGCTTGAGCGATGATGGACCTCCATTACTTAATTCCGTCTTGAGTTTTTATATGATCTCGTCTGGGCCCATCCTTCGAATTTCCTAACTGGACTTCGTTCATTGAACCATTTAATTGTGCCTCATTTTTTGTATGTCAACAATAATAATTAGAACATTTCATCACCGAAATATATTGTTTCTTTTAACAATACTATAGCTGTAACGTGAGTTTTGTAGTTATCATATTTTTATTAGTGTATGAATTGTAGTTTTTTGGAATGTTTTTGAAGAAATCAGGGCTGGCAATATTCAGGAATGTTGGTTAAAATTTATATAATTAAATGAAAATGCTAGGTTGTAGAAAAGAAGGGTTGCTGAAAATAAACAAATGATTATAAAGAAAAGATAACAAATTTATATCAATTTCTACATGATGTAAGAAAAATTTTGCAACATCTTGACGGTTTTTACAATCTCACAATAGCATTCTATCACCAATAAAGCTATTTGTATAAAGTTGAGTTACAAAAGTTGGGTTACAAAGTGTGTTGGTAAAATTCAGAAATGATTTAAAAAGCTGTATTAAGAATGATTGGTGTAGATGTTATTTTGTCAACCAACTTCGTAACCCAATTTTGTACATGTAGCATAATTCTTCTATTACACCTAGATTAATAAAAAGAACAATGCTACATGTACAATACATGAGTTACAACATTGGATTACAACCTCTCATGAGGGATGTGGGCCCTGCGATTAAAATAATAGTGGGTCCCACCTCCCTTGTGAGAGGTTGTAACCCAACATTGTATAATGAGCATTATTCTAATAAAAATTATACATGAATAAGAAATGTTTGACACAGTTCATATGATTTGAGTTCAACTTGAAGATTATGTTGACAAAATAGATTGAAGAAGATACTCGGACTCCAAATCCCCCAAAAGGCTCTTCAAACTATAGTCCAACAAACCACCACCATCTTTCCCCTTCTCAAATAACACATTGTTGAATACTTCTATGTTTTGGTCTATACCAATATAGAGATAACGCGTGAGGAAATTATGAATAGATTAGAGAAAAAGGAGAGGAAGACAAAAAGCAACATATAGTACTATGATAAATGAGTATTTTAGTTAAAAATTTGTGAACTTTATACAGGCAGAAGAAATTTCTTTTGCAGAAAAGGGGATTCTAGACAAAAATATAATTCTACTAATACAATTAGAATTGTAACAAGGTGGCAATAATTCAGCACATTCGATGAAGAATGAAACACAAGTAGCATAAATAGAAGGGAAAAAGCTAGACCAATGCATCTACAAAAATGAAGGAACATTTTAATTAAATTAGTCTCGTTATCTTTCGTACACTTCTAAGTTAAGGGAACTACCGTGAAAGAAATAACCATTTGTATGAACTGTATAATTCATGAAGTAAAATTATTCACCTACTCAATCTCGAAATTTTAATTAAGTTGCCACCATTGTTGTTATGGGGATTATGTCGTCCTCAAAGAAAAATAAAATTATAAACACGAGTACTATTAGCCTTTTCTATAGGGTGAGTCGCCATAGGCTAGTTTGTTTAAATGATTGAACGTCAAAGCAGACAAAGATGCAAATATGCCTGCACAAACAATATGTAAATGCAGAAAGAAAAAAGTAATGATTGTCACTATATAAAGTTGGATGTATGTTTGAAAAAGCCAACGTTGTTAAGATTTATATAAATTAACAAAGGGACTCACCCCTTAAAACAATATATCCAATTGTCGAGAAGTTAAATGTTGCTTACCCATAACACCTTGCATATTGAATCCTTTGCTCTAGCTAGGATGTTGTCTAGCTTTTCTGTTCCAGGCTTTCTCAAAATCGACAAGTTCATCTAAAAAAGACAAAAATTACTTGAATGTGAACTGAAAGTTACAAAAAAAATAATAATAATAATAAATCATCATAACAGTAATAAATACAATCTAGATACAATATTTACACTAATCAACCTAACTCACCTCAATAGGCATATTTAAATTATATATCTTCTTCGTTCGTCTTTCTACAAATCTAGTTCCTAGCTCTGGAATAAAGCCTCATAATAGTTCTATAATTCTATTTAAAAACTCAAACATATATTTTAGTATGGAACTTAAAAAAATTTACCAGGTCCATATAGATCCAATTGTAATTCAAATTGTTAAAATCAGTTCTTTATCCCTCCCATTATAGGGCTGATGTTCCAGATTTCACTATGATCAACGATCAAATGAAGATGCTAAGTTGCCCAAACAAACTCATGCCAAACAACAAGAACTACAGAATCTAGTTAAGTAAAAACATCCAAACAATCGCACCAACTGATGAGTTGCAAACTTCATCTATTACAAAAAAAAAAAACCAAAGGAAACCCACAAATATCTGATGATCAAACCCTAAATAAAAGAGAGCAAAAATTATAAAGATTGCCCCTCATAAAAGTTCAGCTTATTAAGATACATGTCAAGTAGCATAACAAATCGTAACTAAAAAAATTACAAAAACTTCTCACAAATTAAATGAATCGGACCTCCATTAAACATACACAACTTCATTCTTGTATTATCACAAAGAAATAAAATAATTATACCTCTTGTATTATCTCAAAGAAATAAAGTAATTACACCCAAAAACAGTGAGGAGAAAGAATAGTTACATGCGAGACGACGAGAATTGCTTAAATAATTTGGTGCATATGTCCATCAACAATACATGAACACATTGAAAAAACAAACAATTAAATCTAATGTAAATAGCAAACAACATTGAAATCAAAGAGAAACAATGATCATGTTAAAATCCAATTCCCCAACATAAGTGACATGAAAAAAAGAATAAAAAATTACTAAAGACGAAAAATTATACAGTTAAATATTAGATAATTAAGCAATAGAATAACACAAAATATGGAATGAGTCAAACCTACTTGTAGGAATCCTGAGGATGAGCCATAAGAATACACTACAACAAAAACAGTCTACGGTAACGTTGGGACGTGTGTTGCAAATCGAGGTGTTGATGTAGAGTAGAGAGAAACGGCAACGGTTTTTGAACATTTAAAAAACATTGTCGTAGAGATACGGCAACGTTTGACAAATGTTGCGAAAGACAGCCTACCGCAATGTTTGGCAAACGTTGCCGTATCTATCTCCGGCAACGTTTGACAAATGTTGCGAATGACCGTCTTTCGCAACGTTTGCCAAACGTTGCCGTAAGGTAGGGGTTTTTTTTATTATTATTATTAACAAAAACAATTTATGCAAATAGATTGATAAAATTGAAAATGCAACTAATGAACAAATTTTGCATAAAAATTGATAATTTNATCAGCGTCGTCATCCTTGGCCGCAGAGGCCTGAAATTCAAATTTGGTGCTATTTATAAGGTCAAGCATTAAAAATGTAAAAACACACTTATAAACGGACAGCTAAAAACAAATCAAGAGGATGAAACTGAAAATAAAATGTAAATGCAAATATAAAACCTTGAATTGTAAAATTGAATAACCTGGCACAATTTTGAATGAGGTTATCTACTTTTCTTGTTCTTTATTTTACATTTTCTAGATCTTCTTGTCTTTTAGTAATGGAAGGTGGGGGGCAGGGGACGGATGGTGGTGGGCTGGGGTGTAAGAGAGCATATGGTGGTGTTTTTGGAAAGGTTGAGAACTGAAATGCCTCAAAAAATTGAATGAGTTTATTTGAATGGTGCTAAGACTTAACTGAACAGTCATCCCGTGGTAAGAATGGTGCTAAGACTTAATTTGAATGAGTTTATTTTTCCCTAGATTTTACCCGACTAAGATTACTAAGATAGTAAAATCACCCATGAGAAGCATAAAATTCATCTAACAATGTTAACTTTATTGAATACAGGGAAATAGAATGACAGATTAGCGCACAAGCAAAGCAAATTCAAAATTCCACAGAATAACACAAATATTATAGATTCCACAAGTGAGACTCGAGTCAAGAAAATACAGCAGCAACAAATTTGGAGAAAACTAAGAATTTTATAGCTCTATATAAATGGAATGCACAATTTATTTTCATGCAAACTTTCTGAACCAAAAAATCTGAGGAATCGACCAAGTACAACTAGAAAAATAAATCATATAGCAAGAAGAAAGGTAGAAATAGTGATGCAAAACAAGGTGATGACTCGTGAGTAAGGACCATGGCACTGACTGTAGCCAAACTTTAAGAGAATTAAACAACATGGGAAATTCCAGTATCCTACCAATTAGTCAAAACTATCATCATGGAGAAGGCACTAATATATCTTCTGGGGCCTTCCAGGATAATCCTGATGAAAGAAGGCTCACAAGTAACCATGATGTTTTACTAAATCAATTCTCGGCTCAACCTTCAGGGGCATTAGATCAAAAAGGTTCTGTGAAGTTCTCAAGTATGGCTGTTGTTTCAGCATCTACTCCAAGGACACGTAGCAGCCCCAAGAATAAGGAGCAAAAGACAACTGAAAAGGTCCCTTCAAACAACTTTCCTTCAATTTTTAAAAGCCTGTTATCAACTGGTATACTTGATGGAGTTCCTGTGAAGTATGTTTCATGGTCAAGGGAGGTGAGTTCTGATATTCTTGTCTTCCACTCTATTCAAGGGTTTTTTCCTTAACCACAATAATGTTTGTGCGTGCAGAAGAATCTTCAAGGAGTGGTAAATGGGACTGACTACTCAAGCTCACAATTAAAGTCTACTATCCCCCTTTATGTATAAAGCAACATTGGCAAAGATCACAAAAGTAACACAGCCAGAGAAGTTGAATAGGTGCAACGATACAAACCTGCTGCTCTGCCACTCTGTCGTTGAAGCTACCAGCATCGTTGGCTGCCAATATAGTTCAAGTACATAATTTAGGAAAAACCATAAACAAACAAGCATTTTTCTCCATACATAAGAGTCAAAATGAATATCATTAATTAAATAAAAAATCAATTATAATAAATAACTATCCGTCCTGCAGTCCTTAGAAAATTGACAATGCAATACATAAATTAATGTCACAATATATCAAAATGTTAAGTTGAACTTCAATTCTACTACAACTATAAATTGACAAAACTATTCACGTACTAAACTCAAGTCTGCCGTTCACTTCTCAAGCATTAAAAGAAAACCTCGGTATAATTCCAAAAGAAGACCAGAAGAAAATTGATTTAGCAGACAAATGGTGAACTCTTCACTGGTCAGGTGGATGGGTAATGGGTTTTGATTGGGTTTTTTATACGTTGATATCCATCCTCGAATCTTTCAAATATGTAGACATATTATATGTATTAAGAACAAGATTGAGGGTAAACAAATTCAAGGGGACAAGAATTAGAGTTAACTCATGTTTTCCAAACAAGTAGTACCTATAAATATGAAATCTTTCAATAAAGGATTTCAATTTACCTCGAGAAAGTTAGGTGGCTGCAAAATTCGTTAAGGAAATTGATTGTTTGCCAGCTACGTTTGGATAGGAATC